TATAAAATAAGAAAGAGAGAAAGACAAAAGAAACTTGACAAGGAATATACAATTGAATCGAATTGTATAAAACGAGAAAGAGAGAAATTAGATACAATTTGAAAATTGTATAAAACGAGAAAGAGAGAAAGGCAAAAGAAACTGGGTAGGAGAGTATTTTTATTGTATAATTATAAGTGTATAGTAAGAAAATATATGTACTTGCATGTGTGTATACAATTTTTTCACCTTTTATACAAACAGAAACGCAATTATACATTTCGCTTCTGTTTGTATAAGTGAGAAAGGCGAGCGAGATTTGGGAGAGTGGCGAGCGAGATCTGGAAGAGGGGAACAAAAATATATATATTTATACAGTTTTCTCTGCTTTATACAATTAGAAACGATTTATATACACTTCTGTTTGTATAAAAAGTGAGGACGCGAGCGAGAGATTGGAGGAGAGTGGCGAGCGAGATATTTGGGAGAGAGGCGCCTGACAATTTTTTGCAAACGTTTGCTATGGAGCACAATTAAATCAAACTCTGACTACTCTATTTATTTTAGGTTATTAGTTTGTTATTATATACAATTTTCCTTATTTTTTATTAGAAATTACAATTTGAACCAAAAATAATTGCTTATAGAATCACATCTATGTTAGTTTTATGAGCAAAATAACGTAAAGTGTATAAAAATATTACTCATAAGACTATATCTTGTTCAAAATTTCCAAAAAAAAAATACCAACTTCCGAAAATAAATTTCCAAAAAAGAAAATTCACAAAACAAATGTCAGCGTAGAGTTGGTTGTACTTAGGGTTATTTGAGAGGCATGTGTTGATCAATTACCCATAATAAATAAAATTATAATCAAGAAAATAAGATAAGTAATTTTATTTATACCGTCTATATTCTTAATTATTTTTTTACATTTCTCTTAGTCGTTTTTAATTATTTGTCTATTGGACAATCAAGAAAGAACAAATACTTTTTACTATTATGTCCTCAATTAATTGATTTGGAAAAGGTAGAACTTTTTGAAAATTATAAGTTTTAAATTCATCCACTTTATATTAATAGGGGTAATATGACAAATTCACTATGTCAATTATTGTTTTTTTTAATAGATGTGTCAATTCGAAAGTGAACAAGTAATTAGCTACAGAGAAGAGTATTACATTTCATTGACATTTGTAAAAGTTTCAATAAATTAACAGGGAGCATAAATTAGCAAATCCTTGTTTATGTATCATAATATATACCATTGGTCATAGCTCAGTTAGACAAACAAGAAAGAAATTTAAGGCATGAACCTATTAAATAGTATAACTGCATCTGGATGAGATGACTTTTCTTCTTATTTCAAATATTTACATAGGAAACACCCAATGCATGGACAAATATAGATGCCTCCAATTGCATACAAAGGTGTCACTGCTAGCCGCTAGGTTGAAGGAAGTTAGAAATGTACATTTTGACAACTTCTTTACTTTGACAGAGTAATCGCTCTTAGGAACATATCTATCATGATACATTTCTTTATATATAATATATACATGATTCGAGCCAAAGCCACTGACCCTGTCCAGATAGAGTATAGTTTAGGCCACCAGCCTGGTGAGGGCAGGCTGTCTGAATTCTGATGAAAGGTTAAGGCAAGGCCTGCTTAGTAAACAGGGAAAAATGAGTGATGGGGTTGAGTTTTCAGTTTTTCACAAATGACTCTACTTGTGAAGAAGAGGTGATAAGGCCTGAGATGAGTCCTACAATGAGGGCACTGTTGTAGGTTGTTGGTTCACTTTGCGAAATGTTGTTCCGAGAGTCCATGTATGTATCACTAAGGGATGGTCCCCCAACAAGAGCTCCAACTGCAACATTTGGATTAGAGTGTCTTGTGTGAAGCCATTTGAAGCCATCACTGCAATTAGAATTAGCATTTACTGGAATTGAAGCACCTCTATGGTGAACTTGCTGAGGATATCTACTTCCATAACCAACAAGGTAGCTCATTTCCATAGAATTGTTTCCCAAGATATAATCCAACTGAAAACAAAATAAGAGGTTCGCTGTGATATAGAAGTTTGATGGCCTTGAAGTGTATTCAGAGTTGAAAAAACAAAAATACTGCTTAAGATCATTCAAGAAAGAAGCAAATACATAAGATAAAAGTTTATTCAAGAGATTATTTAAAAGATGTTCTTCTTAGCCCTTTGGTCCGTTTAACGGACCATTTCATCTATACAGAAAATCAGATGCTGGAGTCATGTGTCGTTCGACTGAAACTACTAAAAGGATAATGACATGTTCAATTGGCCGTGCATACATTAGTACATACCTGTGAAACTGCAAAGTTGCGCAATTCTGTTGGTTCATACAACTTCCCACTGCAATATAAATTTGATGTTTGGGAGCTAAGCATGTAATCACTGTAAACCACTGCCAGAAATGAAGAGGCCACAGAATACTGGAATGGATTCCACTGGTTCACCCATACCAGGCCATCTGCCACAAAATTATAGTTTTTTTACAGCACCTTTTCTTTCAAAAAAGAAAACATCATAATTATACAATGACTTGCTGACATATTTTTTTATTTGGAAGGTATTTTAAAAGACCAGCTCATGTTTTTCATTCCTCAGCTTGGGGTGTATTGTTGGGCCAAATTTTCTGACAGGGTCACAATTTCATCATAATACCTGCTGTTCTTTGGGAGGTTGCCATTGGGGATTCAGGTAGAAGTCCACACAAAAAGGTCTCAGCAGTTTGTCTATACGACTGGAGGGAAAGACTTTCCTCAGTTGAAATATCTTCATTTGAACCAAAAAAATTGACCCTTGATAATAGGACCTGAGTCAAAGGTTAAAATCAGCATGGTTGTTAGCTGGAGAAATCTTTCAACTAAATAATACGAAAAACAGGCCAATACTCAATTTTTGTTTATGAACATGATTTATCAGAAAAGAGGTACATGCTTTACCAAGTTATGGGCCTTTACCTGTTCTAACAAATCAAAGGATGCATCAAAAAGCAGAAGAAAGTTCTTCATAGTGTTTCCAAGTATCACATTTGTCCAACTTCATGCTAATTGCACAAACAGATACTATATCTAACATCTAGAAGCTAGAATTATGGAATACATATAACTTCGTGGCATGTATGCGTTGAATACCTGAACTCCAGCCAACTTGTTTTCCCAAGAAAACCAAGATGGATTTCCCCAATTTGCAAACGTATTGCCATTTGTAGACACATACGTTAGGTAAGATTTGTCTCCAGTAGCATGATAAAGCCAAGCAGCTGCCCACAAGAGTTCATCCACAAATCCAGTAGAATTATAGAAATCTTGCACTCCAGGTATGCTGATACTATATGAACCTCTATAACTATCAGCAAACTTGAATAACTGTTTGGCATGCTCTAGCAGCGTTCCTGAGTAGGCGGAGTCAATTGACTTGAACACCAAGGATGCAGCCGCCATTGCTGCTGCACTTTCAGCCGCAACATCTGTCCCTGGATACGATGTGTTAACTTGTGTAAGAGGCCTTTTTCCTGTCATGGCCTCTGGTCTCTCCCAGCACGTGTGATCGAGCTTTGGGTCTCCCACCTTTCTTGCAGATAAAAACATAAAGACACTTCACTAAGCAACATTATCTTTTTCTGTTAATGTATGTGCTGTGTGCAGCAACTTGCTAAAAGGATGTTGTTTGCATTGGCTATAGATTGACAAGCAAACAGATACTCAGCAGTCAGAAAATCAATTACTCAAGGTCAGACAACACGGAAGTTCTACATTATTATAGTGCTAATGGAAGGAACACTATTCCGCACTCGTTACAGTTCTATGGGAGCATGGAAGAGGAGATAGGAGATATCATAGTAAAAGTCCTAAAAAGTGTAGGAAAAAAGTTTTTCAAGAAACTGAAAAAATGCTTCTTAAATTGTTAAAGGGAATTGATCTACCTGAATATACAGGACATTCTCAGAAGGATGAGCATTTGTAAGAAAATCAGTGATCCACTTGAGGGATTCATGGGCGTTATCCAGCTCGTTCACCATGTTCATGTGGTTTCCATACTCCAAAATAGCCCATGATAAAACTGTAGCAGTGAATGCCATTGGAAATCCAAACTTCACATGGTCTCCAGCATCATACATTCCTCTACTTAAATCCAAATTAACTTCACTTCCATCTCCCATAGCCGAATCTCCTCTCCAAGCAATCTTATTATTCACCAATTTTCCAGCTGCAGTTAATGATTCAAAAATCAAGATAAGTACTCCTAAACTTAAGTTTAATTAAGTGACCAATGTGAATATAGCTATTCTTACACTTCTGAACGTCGAAGAATTGCATAGCAATGCTAAGAGCATTTGCATATTTTTCAACCACTTGATGAGAATCTGCCTCTGAAGAATTAGACGGATGAAAATATTTTCGGAAACTGATTAAAACTGCAGCAAGAACAAGAGCCGTGATCACCAGGATCAGCCCCCTCCATACCCATCTTTTATCCTTGTGTGGTTCTTTCTCCATTCAATTTCAGTTCTCTTCACCGAAATGTTTCGAATGAAATCATGAGCCTCTCCATTCTATGACCGAATGATGAGAGACTAGATTATGATAATGAACTAAATTATACTCCTCTTGTGGCCTATTTATATATGCTATTTGAGTATCTTGACAATCACCAAAATACAGTAGATAGAGATGAAACCGGCATATCTGAGCTTTGTCTTTATCTGATTCTTGATTTCTCTACTTCAACTTTTTGGAAGTATTTGGAACTGTAATTAACGAGAATCTTGATGCTTATTCCTCTTCCTAAACTATGTCACCAATAAAACCCTCCCCCTTACAAAAGGTTATTCTTTTTTAATCATATTCCAACTATGCTTGCTCCCTCTTTGTCAAAGCAACAAATAGCTTCAACTTTACACCATACAAAAAGGAATATTAAAACATCAAAGTAAAAAAGTGCAATATTTAAGTTGTGAAAGAGAATATATCATGGACCATCTTAAATTTTCTTATGTCATTGGGTATTCAAAGAGGTTGACAATTTCAAGTTCAACAAATAGTATTAAGGGGATATTTGCTTCATGTTTTACTTATACAAATATATACATATGTTCTCGCATAACTTATACAAGTATCATCGTTGAACTTCACAAATATATATAGTATCCAATTGACATGTTTATTTGCTTAAATCTAGTAGTACTAATAACTTTCAAGTTACAAAAATTTGGAGTAATTAAAGCGAAAATTTCTTCTGAAACTTGAGTTTTCCAGTGGGTCAAGGTTTGTCTCCTGTACCTTTAAACATAGATTCAGGAGCAAGAGGAGTAGGAGTATCCAACTGGTAAAGGTCAAATGCAGGACCAACAAATCGAAAAAGTATCCAACCCCCAATTATAATAAAAATAGAAGCATAAGCAAATTTGTTTAGCCAGAACAAAAGTCCTTTTTCTCCGACGTACAATTCGATTGCCTTCTCAGTTAGATTCATTGATTCCCAATCCTTTGGTGGAGGTTTAGGTTTAACAGCTTGTTTCCCTGCATTTATCATTTCTTCTTCCTTCTGCCTTTGTCGTTTTGACGGACGTCTTCTGATTCGAATCTCCACCGTGTTTGGTTGCGATTCGTTGCCATTATCACTGCTGCTGCTGCTGTTGCATTTGATGGGAAAACGAATTACATGGCGATGTTGAGATTTGGAGAAAAGTTGTACTGGAAGAGGAGTGAAGTGTTTCGGGTAGGTAGAGAGCATCGTTGTGTTCATTTTTCATTTGCTTTCAGGGAATTTAACAAAGTGTGAGGCCACAATAGTTATCATTACCTTATCCTTTTATTTATCTCAATTAATTGTATTTTTTTTATGACAAAGAAAATTCATAGTTATTATTCATTAATGGTAAAATGTAATTCCTAAAAGTTATTTGTATTTTGCATCTATGTAAATATTGAGAATGTTTGCTCAATAACACATAAATGTTAACTAATTTCCAGCTTTATACAAATCGTTTTACTATCTTCTTTTTATCAATCTGAGTTTCGAGATTGCTTGACAATCATAATGGAGTTTTAAATGAATTCTTAGATATTTTTTAATTATGATATTTTTTGAATAACAGTAAAATATGTATAAAGAAAATAATTTTTTTGAAAGTTACAATTAATAATCATCAGAAAAATTTGTTGCTATAAAAATAGTACTTATTATAATTTCTTTTCAAAACTGCAAGTCTCAAATATTAAAAGAATATTTTTTTTTAGTGAATAACAGTAAAATAGACAAATGGAATAAGAATTTCTTCCCATCTCTCTTATAGTTTTTTTTTTTTTAAAAGTAAACAAAGATCTTTTTAGTTGGGGTAGCCTTCATGAACTTTCACTATGGAAAATAAAATCATTTTAAGATGTGTTTGGGAAAAATTGAAAATATTTATTTTTTAACAAAAGAACAAATTTTAGCGATATTTTTTAGTCTCATTATTCAACTTAGGCGAGAAACTGAAAATTCAAAATATGATACTGGATCGAAATGCAATTCGAAAATCGGTCAGAATGGGTCCCACATGTTATTTTTCTGCTTTCAGTTTCTCGAATTTCTCTTTTAAGGTGGCTGCTTTTTCCCCCTACAAAAATTAAAATCAGGGTATACTTGGGAAACTTCAACCGCTTAATTTTCTCTACCTATTTGAATTGACAAAACACCCCTTTAAATTTATTAGAATTGCACCCCACGCCTTATTCTCAAAGCAACTTCACAATTCAATTCTTCAATTCACCGAGTTGACTCCTCCGCCATGTCCGACCACCAGAGAACTCGGAAGGACGATCCCTTCCTTCTCAATTACAACTCCGATGAACTCAGAATCGCCTCTGAATTTCTCTCCAATTGGCTCCCCTTTCTCTCCCGTGACCTCTGCCGCTCCTGCACCCACACCCTCTCCGACCGCATCCGATCCCTCAATTCTAGTAATTTCTCTTTATCCTTCTCTATCCTTATATTAATGTGTGTTAATGCATATGTTTGATATTGAAAAACGGTGTAGTTCGTATACTGATTTGTACTTGCATAAAGTTCACAGCTTTACTCTTTTTATTGGATGAGATTTATCGTGTGTTGCTTCAAGTTTGATTATTTGTTGAAATTTTGTAATAAAGATGTTTTTGGGCAGTTACTTAGTCGTGAAGAACCCTACTATGATTTCTGCTTTTCGGTTATACTTTAATGTTATGAAGGTTGTTAGTTTTCTGATCAGAGACTTTGTGGGTATGATTGCAGAAGTTAGTGGTAATGCAGAATGCTTGAAGCAACCAAAGAATGTGAGTGTTTTGACTCCAGAACGTTGTGATTCGGATGGATGCAATGGGAGTCAAGAGAATTGTGACAACAATTCGCTTGGAAGTTGGAACGATTATGGTGACTTGAATGATAATGCAGATACAAACTCATTGGGGAGTTGGAAAGATGGGGCTGGTGGGGAGCCCTTTGAGGAGCTTTCTGTGGACAGAAATTCATCTGACGGTTGTATAGATGGCGCAGATTCACAATCTCAATCTGTTGGAGAGGCATCTACAAGTGAAGCATTCAAATCATCCTTACCTGTGACTACCCCGAAAGTGAAGATGTCATGGGCTGATATGGCTCAGGAGGATGAACTTCAAGCTGAGGAAGTGAGTGAGTCAATTGCCTTGAGAAGTCAGGTGAATGGTGTGGCTGAAGAGGAAATTACTAATCCGGAGAGTAAGCAAAAAACAGAATTGTCAAGGGAGAAACGAGAGTACATTAGATTCTGTAATGTGAAGAGGAAAAAGGATTTCATATGTTTGGAGAGGGTGAGGGGGAAAATTGTGAATATACTTGATGGATTGGAGCTACATAAGGGTGTCTTTAGCGCCGCTGAGCAAATTAGAATAGTTAAATATGCGGAGAAGCTTGACCAGATGGGGAAGAATGGGGAACTGAAAGGTTTGTTTTACTCTTGATATAGCCCTTAACCATTCTTTTTCCTTTTCTCAAATGGATTTTATTGTCATATTGGGTTTTGCAAATCATGCTTAAAGCAGGTTTAGTTGCTTGCTTGATATTGTGTAGCTGTTTCTGTTTAAACTTCAAGTGTGTTTGAAATTTAAGCTGGTATTTCTGTGAATTAGAACACTCATTTTTAATCCATTTTGTTGTTGTTAGACTTGTGTTAGCATTACAATATTAATGGTGTTTGATGATTGGTAATAACTAGTGTGTCCTCTTTCTTTCTTTTTCTTATTGTTCTCTTTATTTGCTCTTGAGCTCTCTAAATCATGGCATGCAGTCCTGTCACTGACAGAGGGAAAATAATCTGTATTTGTTGCATAGATGTGAGGTTATTTGTCAAATTTATATTTGTTTCCCTGTGAGGTGGTAGGGCTGGCTGATTTTAACGGAGAAATCACACGGCAAGCTCAAAAATTCTGCTTGATTGTGGGTACATTACACAACTGCTAGTTTTGTAGAATGTGAGATGTACCATTGTTGATTCTGATTCAATTTTTCAACAATTTAGCAATGGAGTAAAGCATTTGATGTTAATATAGTTGTTCATGCCTGAATCTTTATTTTGGCAGATAGTCACCCAATTCCTTTTAGGTTCTATGCTATTTAGATGCTGAAATCTTTCAAGTAGGGCGATTGAAATGGAGTTAGTCTATTAGCTTAACTATCAGAAAACTAAGAAAAAGAATTTTGGCTTTGCTTGAGAGAGCATCAGTTTATTGCATTGGGGTTGGCGTGCTTCTTTTTACCTACCAGTATCTTTTACAGTAAGAATCTTATGCAGGAAAACATACCTATTACTCCTTATTTGAGATGATATCTAATCATCCAGATTCAACATTAGATTTCTCTTTTTTGTCTGTTATTGAGAGCTGCAGTAATGTATGTTAAACCAAAGCTGTTTGGGCATCCTAGACTTCAATATATTGAAATGGGGAATCTTGTCTCAGTAATGATTATTCTATTTTAGTTTGTTGATGTTGATATCTATATAAGGTGGTACTGTGGCATGAGAAATTTCTTCTTCCTTTTTTTGTAATTGAAGAAACTTCGTTAAAATGCCTAGTTTTAATGCCAGATGTCTAGGTTTATTGCACATACCTAGATTAATTGCATAGAAATCGAGTAATATGGAAACTTAACTTATTTACCGTGTCTAAACTAAAAGGAAAAAGTCCGCTTCTACTATGGTAACTCTTGGAGACCCACATTGGTGGGTCAAAGTTTACTTGGTCTCTTTATATGGTCTTGGGCAATCCTCACGTCTTGAGCTTAGCTTTTGAAGTTTTATTACGCTCAAGGTCCATTTCTCTAACATGGTATAATAGTCAAGCTCATCAAAATTCATTGTTTCCAATGTTGGGTCCCCTATCTTATATTGTCCATGCTCTAGATTTCCAATCCTGGGCGTATGGGGTGTATTAGCTTCCCATATTGACGGGTCAAGACTTATTTGTTCTCTTTATATGTTCTTGATCAATCTGCACTTTGTGATCTAGCTTTTGAGGTTGAGTTAGGTTTAAGTTGTTTGTACCTGTATCAAGGTCAGTAAAAAATACACAAATATAGACAGAAAATACACTTTTAATCCGAGTCCACAGAAGCTAAGTTGTCTCCTTAAGAAATTTAATCCCCTCACTGTACCCGAGGTTACATATTAATATCTCTGAAGATAAAACAGATTAATCCTGTTAAAGAAGTAGCGTTACCTCAAACTTCAATAACTTCAGCGAACTTAAGAACAGTAACAAGCCACACAGACTCAGTCGATCGACAATTTTGTTTATGAGAGCAAATGTATGCAGAGAGAAGGAAAAAATCTTCAGTATTCGAAAACTGGAAAATCCTCTTATTTATAGCCATTTTCAGCAAGGGACGCGTCTGTTCGAAAAAATATGTTAAGACCCGTTTTGTCCAGAGCGTTGTGTCGTTTGGGAAGAGTAACGACTTTTCGGAAAGAGTAACGACTTTCCGGAATGTTACCGTTACACGCGAATTAAAATCCCGTTATATTAAATTAATTTTGTTGATTAACTAATTAACTAACATCCTGAATTAATTTATAAGAGAAAGGAAATTAGGAAAAGAATTTAATTGATGAGATTGATGAAATAAATTTTGTCCAAAAATATGATCAATCACATCATTTGTCAAATCCGAAGTTGAGCGACGACGACGGCAGCGCGAGGGGCACCTTTTACTTGATTCAACTTAGAAACTGTTACCTGTTTGAACATTAATAAAGATATCATAGATTTTTGTTGGTATGGTATAGGAAAGAAGAAGTTGCAAAAATAACGATTGAGGCATAACTATAAGTTTTCATTTGAAAAAATTAGCAAGTAGTTTTACAAGGTGCACATTTTCTCTGTTTGGCTAATTTGTCGTTTTCTGTTAAGAATGACACAGGCACCTTCTCTTTGTGAAGATTCGTGAAGCAGTTCAGGAACCTTTCTTTTATAAATTTCTATATTAATTCAGTAATTTTACCCTAGTTTCGTGTCAATTTTGTCTTCCTTGTGACTCACATCACGAATTAGTTCGATCTGGTATTGTTTTTTCCTTTATGCTTGTTACAACGGTGATTTTTTTTCTTTGAGCTTCCTCCTTAAGTTTCTCTTTTAAATTTGTTTGTAAAGTTATTTCTGTCAATTTTAGTTATCTCATGGCTTCTTACCTGCCTGTGGTGATTGTTTAGAGAGGACTTATACTACACCAACAAAGTGGATGAGGGGCAAAGGACGTGTGACAATCCAATTTGGCTGTTGTTACAACTATGCACC